ATCGAAAACGCATTTCAGAATTCAGGGTGACATTTCATGAGATAGGGAATCTACTGTACGTTAATAGGGAAAGCCCCTGGCCGCTACAATCCTCAGACTCGGTTCTGAGGGGAATGAGAGGAAGGGAGGCAGGGGAGGGGTTTGCGAAGAATAGGCAGGAGGAGATAGTTGACAGTCAGACGAGTGTACAGCCACCCGCGAGGTGGCTGATGCCCGCAGTGTGTGAGCGTGGGAGTCATCACAACGTCAACAGAATGGTTACTATTCCTTTCATCATCCCCGGAAGAAGAGGAAGAAGAAAAAGAAGGAGAGATAATTTCTGTAACCAAGGTGTATTTTGGCTGACGTTTCAAAAGCGTGTTCGCTTCCATCGTCAGAGCGTGGTGTCTGTACTCCTGTTCGCGTCAGATGAATGTGTCCGACCACTAGCCGTGCCCAATGCCCATGTGTCAATCAATTACACCGATCGATTTCTGTGGCTGTTTGAATTGCTCATGCCCTCACGGGTGCTTTCATGAGCTGTGTCAAGTCGTCTTTGTGTTGCATAAGCGTTTCCACCCTCTTTGCCCGTGGCTGCCGGCTGTCAGCCCTGCTTATCTCTCTCTACCCGACCTATTGCTCCGTTCTGAGCCGATGTTAGCCTTCTGCGGAGCGCTTCGTAGGCGAGATGAAGGTCCATGGAGTACAGACACCACTCTCTGATGATGGAAGCGAGCACGCTTTTGAAACGTCAGCCAAAATACACCTTGGTCCCAGGAATAGTCTCTTCTTCTTTTTCCTCTTCTGGGGATGATGAAAGGAATATGTTATCTGGGTCTCGAATTTGTGCGCATATTAAGAATGGTTACTGTTTGAGTCAGCCTTGAACGCGATTGGCCAGACCGGATTAGGGTAGACCTACAAGGGCACACTTGCTAGCAGTCGCAAAAGGTTGAGCATCGCGCTCGGAGTTGGGTCACTACAGATTTTTCTTTTTCGACTTTTGTAGGCCGGTCAGGTCGTTGTCTTACACAGGAGCATTGTCAAGAGAGTAGCTATAAGAGGTTCAAAGTGTTGTGATGCGGGGAAAGTCCTAGGGGTTGCAGACTGAGTGTCTCAGTCTGACCTGCCATTCCGTCCCCATCGATGTTGCCGTTTCTTGAAACTATTCCTCTCAATTTGCCATCTCGGCTTTAGATAAGTTCCATTGACATGAAACAGAAACGCATCTGACCCTTTGTCCCCGTGAACACGCCCACGACTGTCTCCTTACCTACGACGCGTACCATCACCAGGTTGCCTGGCTGTCTTACCATTGTGTGAATCGCTCTGAGCACCCGTATTTAAGCATAATTCGTCGGAGTCCATTGCAGCTCACTGTCTTCGTCAGATATGCGGAGGTAACGTAGAGGCAACTTCGTACACTCTGACACTTCTTCTTCTTTTGTGTCTGAATACTCTATGCCGATTAGCTCTTGACCATTTATCACATGTTCGTCGCTGTGGACTGTTTGTGAGGCAGAATGCTTACCTTAGAACAGTTTTAGGACAGCACAGACATTACCAGATAATCAAAGAGGTATTTAAGACGCCAGGAAATGGTTTTTGCCTGCCGTGTGACAA